CTCACCACCACATGGAACCTTTTTAAAAATCAACCACATACTTGGCAACATATCAAACCTCAGCAGCTACAAAAAATTGGAATAACTCCATGCATCTTATCAGACCACCATGCATTAAAATTAGAATTCAACAACACAAATTGCAGAAAACCTACAAACTCATGGAAATTGAATAAGGCACAACTGCACCATTCCTGGGTCGAAGAAGAAACAAACAAAAAAAAGAAATTAAAGACTTCCTAGAATTCAATGAGAATGAAGACACAACATACCCAAACCTATGGGACACTTTGAAAGCAGTGCTACAGGGGAAGTTCATAGCACTAAGTGCCCACATGAAGAAACTGGAGAATAGTTATACCAGAGAATTAACAGCACAGCTGAAAGCTCTAGAACACAAAGAAGCAAACTCACCCAGGAGGAGTAGATGCCAGGAAATAATCAAATTGAGGGCTGAAATCAATAAAGTAGAAACTAGGAAAACAATACAAAGAATCAATGCAACAAAGAGTTGGTTCTTTGAGAAAGTCAACAAGATAGACAAACCTTTGTCCAAACTTACCAAACAGCAGAGCATGAACATGCAAATTAACAAAATCAGAAATGAAAAGGGGGACATAACAACGGACTCTGAGAAAATTCAGAGAATCATCAGGTCATACTTTGAAAACCTGTATTCCACAAAATTTGAAAATTTAAAGGAAATGGATGACTTCCTGGATAGCTATCATTTGCCAAAATTAAATCAAGAACAGATAAGCAATTTAAATAGACCTATAACCTCTATGGAAATAGAAGCAGTCATCAAAAGTCTCCCAACCAAAAAAAGCCCAGGTCCAGATGGCCTCAGTGCAGAATTCTACCAGAAATTCAAACAACAGCTTATACAAATTTTTCTTAAAGTATTCCACACAATAGAAGAAGGGTCTTTGCCAAACTCTTCCTACAAGGCTTCAATAACCTTGATCCCCAAGCCACACAAAGACACAACTAAGAAAGAGAACTTCAGACCAATATCCCTCATGAACATTGATGCAAAAATACTCAATAAAATACTGGCAAATTGGATCCAAGAACACATCAAAACAATCATTCACCAAGATCAAGTAGGTTTCATCCGAGTAGGTCTTGGGGGAACAGGAAGGTTGAGCGGGGGGGCAGGATAGGGGGAAGGAGGAATCATAGGTTAGAAGACAGATCAGGCACCAGTGTGACCTCTAGTGATCTAAAGGGATGACACCAATTGACAAGCTAAGCAATAGTGGAGAGACCACCTCGAATGCCCATTCCTGATAATGAACTTGATGTCTATAACCATCCGGGAGCCTTCATCCAGTGACTGATGGAAGCAGAGGCAAACACCCACAGTTAAACACTGAACTGAACCCAAGGAACCCAGTGACAGAGAGAGAGGAGTGATGAGCAAATTGGCAAAGAATGGGCTGGCAAAACCAGCAGAGACAGCTGATCTGAACAGGGGAGAGCACTTGGACCCCAGACCGACAGTTGGGAGGCCAGCATGGGACTGATCTGGACCCCCCCCAATGTGAGTGTCATTGAGGAGGCCTGGGAAACCTATGGGACCCTGAGCAGTGGATCAGTGTTTATCCCTGGAATACAAACAGACATCGTGGGTCCATAGCACAAAGAGGGATGCTCTCTCAGCCTGGACTCTTAGGGGAGTGCCTGGACCCTACCCTGAGTGAAATGACAGACTCTAGATATCCCCTATGTGAAAGGAATTGGCAATAGGGTGGGAGGCTGAGAGATGGGGGATGTGGGAGGAGGGGAGGGAGAGGGAACTGGGATTGACATGTAAAACAAGCTATTTAAAATTAAAATAATAATAAAAAAGTAGGTTTCATCCCAGGGATGCAGGGATGGTTCAACATACGAAAATCCATCGATGTAATCCACCATATAAACAAGCTGAAAAACAAAAATCACATGATCATCTCATTAGATGCTGTAAAAGTCTTTGACAAAATCCAACACCCCTTCATGATAAAGGTCTTGGAGAGATCTGGGATAACAGGAACACACCTAAACATAATAAAAGCTATATACAGCAAACCAACAGCCAATATCAAACTAAATGGACAGAAACTCAATGCAATTCCTCTAAAATCAGGAACAAGACAAGACTGTCCACTCTTTCCATACCTTTTCAACATTGTACTTGAAGTTCTAGCCAGAGCCATAAGACAACAAAAGGGGATCAAGGGAATACAAATTGGAAAGGAAGAAGTCAAACTTTCACTATTTGCAGATGATGTAATAGTTTACATGAATGACCCAAAGAACTCTACCAGGGAACTCTTATAGCTGATTAACACCTCCAGCAAAGTGGCAGGCTACAAGATCAACTCAAGAAAATCAGTAGCCCTACTATATGCAGATGATAAAAGGGCTGAGAAAGAAATCAGAGAAACATCACCCTTTACAATTGCCACAAACAACATTAAATACCTTGGGGTAACGCTAACCAAACAAGTAAAAGACCTGTATCTCAAGAACTTTGAATCTTAGCCGGGCGGTGGTGGCACACGCCTTTAATCCCAGCACTCGGGAGGCAGAGGCAGGCGGATCTCTGTGAGTTCGAGGCCCGGCTGGACCGATAGCCTCCAAAACAATACAGAGAAACCCTGTCTCGAAAAACCAAAAAAAAAAAAAAAAAGAACTTTGAATCTTTAAAGAAAAATTAAAGAAGCCCTCAGAAAATGGAAAGATCTCCCATGCTCTTGGATAGGTAGGATCAATGTAGTAAAAATGGCAATCCTGCCAAAAGCAATCTACAGATTCAATGCAGTCCCCATTAAAATCCCAGCACAATTCTTCACAGACCTTGAAAGAACAACAATCAATTTTGTATGGAAAAACAAAAGACACAGGATGGCCAAAACAACCCTGTTCAACAAGGCAACATCCGGAGGCATCACCATCCCTGACTTCAAGCTCTATTATAGAGCTATAGTCCTGAAAACAGCTTGGTATTGGCACAAAAATAGACAGGTAGACCAATGGAATCGAATTGAAAGCCCTGATATTAACCCACACATGTATGAACATCTGATCTTTGACAAAGAAGCTAAAAATATACAATGGAAAAAAGAAAGCATCTTCAGCAAATGGTGCTGGCATAACTGGAGGCTGGCATGTAGAAGAATGCGGATCAATCCATGTTTATCACCATGCACAAAACTTAAGTCCAAATGGATCAAAGACCTCAACATAAATCCAGCCACACTGAACCTCTTAGAAGAGAAAGTGCGTGGTACCCTTAAACGAATTGGTACAGGAGACAGCTTCCTGAACATAACACCACTAGCACAGGCAGTGAGACCAACAATTAATAAATGGGATCTCCTGAAACTGAGAAGCTTCTGTAAGGCAAAGGACACAGTCAGCAAGACAAAAAGGCAGCCCACAGAATGGGAAAAAATATTCACTAACACCACATCTGACAGAGGGCTGATCTCCAAAATTTACAAAGAACTCAAGATGCAAGTCTCCAAAACACCAAAGGATCCAATTAAAAAGTGGGCTGCAGAACTAAATAGAAAATTTTCAATAGAAGAGTCTAAAATGGCTGAGAGGCACTTGAGAAAGTGATCAACATCCTTAGCCATCCGGGAAATGCAAATCAAAACAACTCTGAGATACCATCTCACTCTTGTCAGAATGGCTAAAATCAAAAACACCAACAACAATTTATGCTGTAGAGGATGTGGTAAAAGGGGAACATTCCTCCATTGCTGGTGGGAGTGCCAACTTGTTCAGCCACTTTGGAAATCAGTATGGAGATTCCTCAGAAAAATGGGAATAAACCTACCACAAGACCCAGCAACTCCACTCTTAGGCATATATCCAACATACAACATTCATTCATACAACAAGGATGTCTGTTCCACTATGTTCATAGCAGCATTATTTGTAATAGCCAGAACTTGGAAGCAACCTAGATGCCCCTCAACTGAAGAGTAGATAGAGAAAATGTGGTACATTTACACAATAGAGTACTATTCAGCAGAAAAAAACAATGGAATCCTGAGATTTGCAGGCAAATGGATGGCACTAGAAGAAACCATCCTGAGCGAGGTAACCCAGTCACAAAAAGAGAAACATGGCATGTACTCTCTCATATGTGGATTTTCGACATAGATCTGGGGAGTGCCAGCCTACAATCCCATGGCCAGAGAGTCTGGGAAACAGAACCTTCATTCAGTGGCTGATGGAAGAAGAGGCAGACTCCCACAGCTAAGCACTGAGCTGAACTCAAGAAAGCCAGTGACAGAGAGGGAGGACTGATGACCAAAGGGATTAAGACGAGGCTGGTTTAACCCCCAGAAACAGCTGACCTGACAAGGGTTAGCTCTTGAATCCCAGGCTGATGCCTCGGAATCCAGCATTGGATTGATCAAGACCCCCTGAATGTGGGTGTCAGTGAGGAGGCCTAGGTAATCTATTGAGCCTTGGGCAATAGATCAGTATTTATCCCAGGTATACAAATGGACTTTGGGCTCCCATCCAATAATGTGGGATGCACTCTCACCCTGAACTCTTGGGGGGAGGTTCTAGGCCCTGCCCTGGATGAAATGACAGACTATGGACACCTCCATGGAGGGCCTGGGGAAATGAAGGGATATTGGGGGGGTTGGTGGGAGGGCACGGGAGGAGGGGAGGGAAACTGAGAGGGACCTGGAATTGACATGTAAAGCAACCTTGTGTCTAATTTAAATTTAAAACATTAAAAAAAGAAAGTATACATCAATTTAAAATAAAATTGTTATCGTCCATTAAAGATACATGACAGGAGCAGCGTCGGTGGTCCCGTGGATCTGTGTCTTGCTTCAACAGTGTTTGGACGGAACAGACCCGGGGACTCCCTTAGCTTCCAGCCGCTTCCCAGCCTCTCCAGCCGCTGCAGCCTTTGGGACCATCTCCTCCCGCCCTTGGCGTCTAGGACCAGTCAGCACAGTCACTTTGCTGTGCTGCTAGCTCCCCACAGCGCATCAGCCATGGCCTCCCAGATCCGTCAGAATTACTCCACCGAAGTGGAAGCCGCCATGAACTGCCTGGTCAACCTGCACCTGCGGGCTTCCTACACCTACCTCTCTCTGGGCTACTATTTTGATCGGGATGACGTGGCTCTGGACGGTGTAGGCTACTTCTTCCGCGAATTGGCCGAGGAGAAACGCGAGGATGCAGAGTGTCTCCTCAAATTTCAGAACGACCACGGGGGCTGCGCACTCTTCCAGGATGTGCAGAAACCATCTCAAGATGAGTGGGGTAAGACCCAGGAAGCCATGGAAGCTGCCTTGGCCCTGGAGAAGAACCTGAACCAGGCTTTCTTGGATCTTCATTCCCTGGGTTCTGGTCGCACAGATCCTCATCTCTGTGACTTCCTGGAAAGCCACTTCCTGGATAAGGAGGTGAAGCTCCTCAAGAAGATGGGCAACCACCTGACCAACATCCTTAGGGTGGCGGCGGCCCAGCCAGCGCAGACTGGTGCGCCCCAGCCGGCTCTGGGCGAGGGCTCCCTCTGCTCTGCACCAGCCAGCCTCAGGACCTTCACCCGAACCTCTCAAGCCACTAGGCAGCTTTGTAACCGCCCTGGAGCCCCTCCCAGGTCTTGGACCAAGTGAAAATAAGGCTTTTTAAAACAGAAAAAAAAGATACATGACAATTTAGAAATATTTGAGACAGCACAGTTGAATTTCAGTCTCATATAGAGTTAGCTTACATTCACATACATAAAGTTAAATTTAAATCACATGTACGGATATACATAGATGCATCAAACCGGACTGGGTGAAAGGAAGAAGGAAGAACCAGAGTATGATCTCTGATTCTCATGTCACAGCAAACAAACAGGACATTTAAGGAGGCAGAGTTGACGTAAAAACTCCCAGTGACAAGAAAGCAGATCTGCTGCAGATGGAACAGGCAAGGTTTTATGCCTGGCAGCAAGGTTTGTTGGCAGAAGTTGGCAAGCTTGTCCCTCTGCATTGGCCAAGGGAAGGGGGTGGGTGGGCCTACAGCTAGGCCACATGGCCAAGATGCCAGCTGCCACAAACACGATACCACCCTGGGATAGGATGCAGCAGGCAGGAGAGTTTTAGCATGCTGGGAAGAGGAGGGAAACATAAGTTTAAGGAAAGAGACTGGACAGAGAGAAAGAAGGGTGAAGGGAGAGGAGAGAGGGGGGAGAGAGGGGGAAGGAGAGAGAGAGAGAGAGAGAGAGAGAGAGAGAGAGAGAGAGAGAGAGAGCAAAGGGAGAGAGAGGGAACATGTGGCGGTGATTGCTTAAAAGGAGAAGCTTGCACATGTGTACTAAGTCCTTATGCAGCCCTGTAATGCATGACATAGCTATGACGTGACACCGGGCCTTGCACATGTGTACTGAGTCCTTATGCAGCCCTGTAATGCATGACATAGCTATGACGTGACACCGGGCCCTGTGAGCTGCCTAAGTACCTGCCAGAATGCTGATATGTATGTCCCACCCATTTTCAGGGGGCGTGGTCAGCATAATACCAAGGTTTCAACACTTCCTCCCTCCCTCCTTCTCTCCCTGCCTTCCTCCATGTCTCCCTCCCCTAGAGAAAGATACCTACATCTACAAGTCTGCATGGTTCTGAAGTTTTTACAGAGACAGAGAAAAGGGATCCCTACTTGTCTGTATTGAGAATCTGGGTTGTCAACTGTGATTCACCACAGCTGCCAGATGCTGGGATCTCCTGGGACAAAGGAAGGAAAAAGGGGTGGCCTATCAAGGATGGCTTGGGTTCCAGGGCTGTATTCTGGGAAACAGGGAATCCTCCATGGAAATCGTAGGTTATGGATTTCCTTGTAGCTCTGAAGAAGGAACAAGGATGCCATAGTCCTAAGGCTGGTACACAGGAGAGGGTAAAAACCGTTTAAAGCTGAGTGCTCATGGGAAGCAGAAGGCATCAGTCCTGTCACATAGAGGACCTGCCAGTCATAAAAACAGGGAGATCATAATCATGGCACCCCCACTCCCTGAATCAAGCTGACCAACTGCCTTCTGTGTGTCTTAGTCCACTATGAACAAGTCCAAAATCAGTACCCTTAGGACAACAGGACGTACTTTGGAAATCACTGCTACTGCAGCACATGGTCTTGTACCTGAACCGTTTATTCCAGAGACCTGGAGATTAGTCACACCCTCTCCATGCCTGTTTAGTACTGCTAGCTTCTCTGGTCATTATCGCTGTCTCCCTTTTCATTCTTTAGAGCTCCCTCCACCCCAAGTCTGCCTTAGTCAACTTCTCTTTGCTCAAATTCCTCCCCTCCCCTTCATCCCCATATACCAGAGAGAGCCCCTGGTATTTGCAAGCCCATGGCAAGGCCCACAGTCCCGCTGCCCCGCTGCAGGCCACCCTATTCTCCAGGCTGTCCTACCTCTTTCCTTTCCTTTTCCACTTTAGCCAAGAAATTGACCATAGTCCACCCCTCCAATTAGTGTGGATCAATTACAATTTGATAGACTTATTATTAGGTTAACATGAGAGTTTAAAAATTTTCCATTAGCTGGGCATTGGTGGTGCACGCCTTTAATCCCAGCACTCTCGAGGCAGAGGCAGGCGGATCTCTGTGAGTTCGAGACCAGCCTGGTCTACAGAGCAAGTTCCAGGACAGCCGCCAAAACAAGACAGAAAAACCCTGTCTTGAAAAACCAAAGGGGAAAAACTTTTTTCCATCTTAGTTGCTCTATGTAATGATAGCCTGTTTGAAGGGGCTACCACATATGGTGAAATTGCTGAACTATTTTTGGAATTTATTTTTTTAAGTTTTGGGGGTTTTGGTTTTTTAAAATAGTTACATTTTTTTCTCAGTAGCACAGGCTCTACAGCAATTTTGGAACATCACATGGGATAGAATTATACACTATTGTTTATCCTGTTTTGATACACACACACCCACATAGGGTGGGTCTGATTCAACCACACCCAAGAGCCTTATAAAGGACTTGACCTCCACGTGGTCTCAGACTTCCAGAAGCCAGAGAAGTGAAAGCAGCTCTCCTCTCCACACTCGAGGTTCTGGTGCTCTCATCAGGACACAGAGCTCTGGGTGCCTGACTCTGGAATACTAGGAAGCCCAGGAGGAAGTATGCAGGTGAGATGGGAAAGTCCACTCTGGTGTCTTTTTGTGAGGAAGGTTATATTAGCGTAGTTTTGGAAACAGGGTCTTACAGGTAGTGCTGGATGGCCTGACATTTATTTTGTGAACCAGGGTGGCCTCTGCCTTGCACTGTGATCCTCACAACTCTGCCCCCAGAATTTTGAAGTCACAGGCCTGAGACATTCTGCTTGTTCTGCTCATGGGTCATGCACAAGGCAGCATGTTGCTCTTCATACCTGGCCAGTCATAAGCTTGATGAGAAGACCTGGCTGATCTGCAATACCCCATGATCGCCCTGAGTCTGAATTCTGAGAGCTGGAACTTCAGATCTCAGCCTCAACAGCCAGTTTTGCCCTTTTAAATCTGTGTCTCAGGTAGGGTGCAGTGGTGGTCTTGAACTCCGATTGTAGGCCAGATGGCATCAAAGACACTTTGCCTGGCTATCCCCTACATTCCGGTTTATAGGTATGATAAGGAACTCTCAACGTGTCTTCTTTTGTAATTGTCTACTCTGACACAAATACCTACCCTTGACTGTGCTCCTCCTCACTCTAGGATTATGGACATGTGACCTACACAACATATCTATTTATTCATGTATTTTAAGATACACTGCACTGCATCTTAACTAGGCTGGCCTCAACTTTACCATCAATCCAAGGATGACAGTGAAGACCCTATGCTCCAGTCTGCACGGGACAAGGGCTGGGACTCCGGGCATCCATCACCCTGCCCACACCTTGGCTGATTTCCCTTCCTCCACTCTCTCTTCATGTCCTGCCCCTCCAGCCCTTCTTTTCCTCTTAAAGACCCACACTCTCTGAGGCCAGACTACCCTAGAGCTCAACCGTCCATCTCAAGGTAGTCTTGAGCTTCTGCTGGCCCCCTTCCCTCTGTCTCCCCAGGCCTGGCAACACAGTCCTCAACTTGATTTTTTTTGAAACATGGCAGTAGATAGCCCTGGATTGGCTTATAACTCAGAATTTAGCCGAGGCTAAACTAAAAGAGTTCTCTTCCAAACTCACATTTTTTTCAGTGCTAAGGTTACAAAAGCAAATCCAGATGTTCAGCTATTAATATTTTTGTGTTTTTCTTTTTTCTTTGTTAAGAGTGGTTTCATGCTATAGTTCAGGCTGGTTCTAATTGGTGATTTCCCTGTGTGTCTCACAAATGCTGCCATACTGTGTGTTTGGAGCAACTATATAATCCAGTCCCTAAGAAATTCCTATTATATGAACATAATCAGAATAGTTTCCTTTTTGCTCCTGCTGTTTAGAGAGAAGCAGCAGAAGAGACTGGAATTTCAGAAGCTACAGCATCACTGACAGAAGAGAGGAGAAACCAGGATGCACAGGATTCCTCAGGTACCAACTCCTAGTGCTTATTTCTATGTGGGAAAACACTCTGTCCATAGTCTCTTCTGTAATTTCAACTGCTTCCCCTAGGTCCTCAGAGGGACACTCCAGGATTGAGACTGTTCACCTCAGTCTTCTGGGATCCTGGTTGTCAGCCATGGCTCTCAAGAACTGGGTATGAGTCAGGCTGTGACCTTCAAACTGGGGAGCTTCCCAGATGGTGACTGTACCCTAAAAAGCCCTTCTTGCTTTATGACATATGTTTTTAAAAATCAAAACACTTACCCTTGTCTCAGTGTCCATGTGGAGTAGTTGATAGAGAGTTTAGGTACATTGAAAATCCAGGGCTTGCCGGGCGGTGGTGGCACACGCCTTTAATCCCAGCACTCGGGAGGCAGAGGCAGCAGGATCTCTGTGAGTTCGAGGCCCGGCTGGACCGATAGCCTCCAAAACAATACAGAGAAACCCTGTCTCGTAAAAACCAAAAAAAAAAAAAAAAGAAAAAAAAGGAAAAAAAGAAAAAAGAAAAAAGAAAAGAAAAGAAAATCCAGGGCTTGGCCACAGGCTTTCTCATTTCCTGAATAAAGCCATAGATCAAAGTCTGTCTGGGCTGTGCAAGGAAGACTCCTGAAGAAATGTTCAGATGAGCATGTTTGATACAAAATGCACCCATTACACTCCTGTTCTTTGCAGGTCGTTCTGTCCGATCCTGGAGTGACTGGGAAATCCTGGTCTTCCTGCAAGAGTGGGAAGTAGTTGAACAGAAAGTTGGCTTCCCAGGGAGGCACATCCAGAGGAAGTCCAGAGCTGTTTCCCAGAGACTCCATCACAGGCGCCTGAGGAAGAGCTGGAGGAGCTGTTTGCAGCTGCTGCTGAGCCTGCAGGATCTGTACAGGATTCTGCGTAAGGAGAGACCAAGGAGCAGACCCTTGTTTTCTCCTGGTGTGGAGACTCTGCACAGGATCCTGGGCTCCAGGCACCAACGCAGACCCTTTGCAGGTTTGGTCTTTACTCTTCATCTAAATCCTAGGGAGTGGCATTGTGGGAACAATCATTCCTCATCCCTAGGGAACAATCATTCCTCATCCCTAGGGAACAATCATTCCTCATCCCTAAGCAGAACAGAGAATGATAAGACCACC